TCAACTCAAAACTTTATAATAAGAGTTTTTCTGTATAATATAATTGTCTATACATATCTGGCATTGAATGTTTCCATAGTCTAAGAGATTTCAATTTATGTATCTCTAAATAAAATGTTTCATGTAAAACAAAATTTGAGAGTAATGAGCGATTTAAAATCTGGAAATTCTGGATTTAAGAAAGTTGAAATTCCAAAATTCTGATTATACCCAAACCACCAGTGGCATAACTAGGATGGGGGACATTGTCCCCAGGCGCAGCATCTAGAGGTTGCCAAATTGTAATTAAGAAATTTTAAAATGAAATGTTTTCCATTCTTGGTACACAGACGGAGGCGCAAAATCTTTAGTTGTCCCTGGGAGCTGAAAACAATAGCTACGCCTCTGCAAACCACCACCAACCCTGTGAATGTTATATCATAAAATGCTTACATAATATGTAAGAAAAAATACAAATAAGATAACCAAAAACTGACACATGACAATACATTGGCACAGTAAAAAACATACATTTCTAAGAGATTCAAGAATTTGCTTGTTCACCTTATCACTAAAATTTAGCTTCATGGGGGCTTCTTAAATTCCAAAGTGAAGAAAATTATTCACCTGAAAGTGCTATGCTAGCCTATAGGGACTTTTAAATAATATTGCAAAGAAACAAATGACAAACAATATTAAAAAAGTGCTTTTAAAGCATAAGAAGTTGTATTTAACAAAAGGGATAATATTTTAAGAAAATGACAGAGGAACTACTTTCATATTTATTTAATTTAATATACAGGTATTTACATATTAATGCAACCACCTTGGCGCAATTTGTTACAAATGGCAAGATGAAAATTACTTATTGGGTGCAAGTTGGAAATTTTCGCAACTGCTTAAAAAATTCCCAAATTATCGATATTTATCGTAAATCGGCAAATATTATCAACATATCAAAAGAAAACATGCTTTAAAAATTTTAAATACAAATTTTAATGACTAAACAAAGATTATATGATACATCTTTTGCAAAATCCATCCGCAATATTTTCCTTGTGTATGCAAAATCTGATTTCGCTTACAAACTCAGCAATATGCACTGGCTGTCTAATCAGACATTTATATTGTTCTCTTCAATGATTTTGCAGCAAAATACAGCATTCCTGCATTTTTAACATGGTTTCTTCCATTGCTGGCAAATCATTGGAACTTGGAATACAACAAAAAGAACGCATACAAAATGGTGACATTGCCTGATTGAAAGAACATTATGCGTAGGGTTGCCCGAAAAATGGTTTTGTGCATGGTTACCAGTGTTTGGCACATTCCAAAAATCTGACTACTTCTACTAAGGTGGTTGCACTAATATGCAAGTACCAATAGAAATTTTCAAGACTTTCAGAGCGACTCTTACATTTTATATTATACAGTAAAAAAAAAAATATTCAAAAGACATGTGCAATAAAAACCATAATCTGTCAGTACAAATATTTATTCTTAGCATTTAGATATAATTGGAACTTTTTATCTTCATTTTTTTATGTTATTTATAAATTATAAAAATAAGAAAACATACAAAATATAACTTGGAATGAATAATAAAATAAATGCGAAATAAAATTAACACAACAGATAATGTTTATCCACTCTCAGTATATTAAGAAGACTAACAAAAATATTTAAATATATCACATAAATTATCACGTTTCTAAAAAATTTCCCCATAGTAAACATTGCAGAAAAACAATTATGTTCTTACCATTACTCTCATTAATTAAATTAAAAATAATAACTGAGACTAATAAACTGTATAATTTATACCTATAACCCAACACAAAATAAAAAACTATACAAAGAATTATTTGAAATATTTTAAAGTATACATGTACAGGCATACATGTATTGTTTTAATGGTGTAAGGCATGCAATAAATATCAAACTTTTATTTTGATACTTATATAACATTTTTAGTGTGAATACCCTTTAAATTGCTCAAACATGTGATTTTTAGAGTTATATGATGTTAAAATTTCTAATCAAACACAATTTGAAGTTTTAATGTAACAGCAACAGTAGCTTTAAAATTAACTTCAATAAATAAACATTTTGCCAACTTGCCACAGAAATATGTCATTCTCTGAGTTATTTAAGCAATAGCCTTACATAAATTATAACTATTTTTATGTTAGAATAACTGGAAAATATTTATTAAAAATAGAAAAATCCCCCAATTCAGTTATATCATAAGGAATAAAAATAAATGCATCAGAATAAATTATTTTAACCATTTTATAAACTAGTCCTCATATATATGCTAAAGAATTTTTAAAAATCACAAGCACTAGCAGTATATTAAAAGAAAATTCATTTTGGAATGTAATAACTAATCAATTGTATACCAATGCATTCCTAAACTGTGGTAAAGTAAATTTAAATCAGAAACAGTAAAAAGCAACCTCATGTATTAAGTTATTAAATTCTGAAAATTTACTTGCTACAATTTGAGAAATAGAGTAAGAAAGGAGAAACAACATATACACTTTTAAAGGGATTAATATTCATATCCCATAATTAATTATACAGTAACAAAAATCAGCATATATAAAAACTAGGAATATATTCATACAATCTCTAATTTTTATTTTGAATGCTAACAAGGTGGAAATGATTTCAAGAGAAAGATGCAAACACTTAAAAATCACTAAGAAATGTCTCATAAATAACTCTGTTGAACTTCTATAGCTGATACAGTTAAAAAGATAAGTTTAACTAATAAAAATTTGACATATTTACAAAATATAGTCAGTCTTCAGATGTAATGAAATAATAATTAAAGCCTATCATGTAGGAAATCCAATTTATAACACCTCTCCCTACTTTTTATGCAACAGAAGGGGAATGGTTCTTTATAACTGTGATATCTTAACTCTTTTTGGTGTAGATTTTAAAAAAAACTGTGATATGATATTATATAAATGACATTTCATTTTTGGGCTAATTCAAATAAAAAGTGGTGAACAGCAAAATGATTACTCTAGTCTTCACATAAAAATTATCAATAAACAAATTATAAGCAATGTTTCAACTGTCACAAGGTGATTTAAATAACAGAATTATAACAACAAGCCAAATCAAACTTTAAAAATTGCTAAAACTCAGTTTTTACTTTGCATTAATTTAATCAAAATTATATGCATCTTAAGCATGTTACATAATTGTAAACATTTGAATTGAAGAATATTATTATACAGTCAAAAGTCAATTCAGACACCCATAATCCGGACCTCAAAGCTAAAAACTTTCTGCGCATGCGCCGCGTTGACACATGCACATAGGCGTTTACGCGTGCGCGTAAGACCTTTTACCACTGCGCATATGCGTGTGCGCAAGCGCAGAATACGTTTTGGCATGCACGTTTTATGTACAACGGAACGTATAATCTAAAATTATCTAATTATCTATTTCAGTTAATGTTGATGATTGCGTTGTTCCTTAATCTTCGAATTGGATCCGGCTTATTATTTTTTGCAGACAGTAAGAGCAATTTTATAAAAGTAAACTTGAACTTTCGATTATGTCAAATAGAATTTCCGATGTCCATCAAACAAAAAGTGGAATTGCTGCAAAAAATGGATAAAGACATGAGGAATGTGACAGAGAGGTTAGTGAAAACGGAAAAATTTCGATTGACAAGTTAGTCGGTATTCTCAGCACAGCAATTACGGGACTTGAACAGCGAAACTTTGTAACTGAACAAGAAATTATGTCTGTTTATAGAATTAAAGAGAAAGTATTATCACATAAAACGAAGCAACTTAAAACAGTTTACATTGAAAGAAATGTTTAATAAAGTAAACAAATAAATATTAAGCTTTTTTTTGTAAATTTTGATACCCTTTAGATTATAATGTTCTTTATTTCATAAATTAAGGTTTCATATTTTTAATTTTAGAATTTCTGCATGCCATCTTACGAGATTTAAACTGATGATCTATAATCCGGAACCGCCGAAGTCCCGACGAGTCCGGATTAATGACTTTTGACTGTATATAACTTCTGCTTAAAATTCCATAATAGGGCTAAGCGCCAAGCTTGGTGAGAGCTTTTTATTTGGCGCAATTTTAATTTGGCTGTGCTTTCCTGCTGTATGTTTTCTTGTGGCAAACCTTGAGCTTTATTTCGGTAACTGTAAGAGAGCGAATTTAGTGTATCCAGATTTTTTTAAAATTTAATTTTGAAATACTGTGTTTGTTTTTAAAAGTTTTATTGTTTAATATTATTGTTATATATATGTTTTAATATTATATTTATATAAATATTTGCAGAAGGTTAAGCTGTTGTTGGTGGGAGAATGTTGGATTTCATATGACACGAAGTTTATAATTTATGAATGTTTTCATTTAATTTTATTTAGTTAATTTTTTATTTTTTTAAGTTTTGTTTTTTTTTTGCATGCGGCAATCCAAAGATGTGGAATATTTAAAGCTTTGAACGAAAGTTGTTTAGTGTGTTGAATTCCACAACCATAGTAACTTGAATATTTTAGTTAGTTTATGATGCTGAATACGATTAATTTGCTATTCTGTTTACGTTTAAAACTGACTTCGCAGTGCTCTGATCTGATAAGTGTATACATTTATTTACTTAATAATTATTTACAAGAATTGTTCATTCTATTATTTTATGATGAATTACATATACATAGGATTACGTTTTTACTTGCAAGGCTGTTGGACTTTGTTTTACTCATCTAGTATTTTATCATCTCATTTTACTATTCTGTTTACATAAAATAACGGCGTTTCACTACTGCAAAACTTTATTCTGTTGACATTTAAAAATAACATTTTAGTGCTTTTGCCACCTAAAAAATTCACCAAATTTTGAAGGCCAAAATAGTTTGCCGCTAACTTATCCCACTTATGGAATTTTAGCCTAACTTCCCACAAAATTTCCTTGATCAGATCTAAATGAACTCAAAAATACTTGACAGAATATTTTACATGTTTAATACTTACAAAAACATACGTTAAAATAAGCTGCTCAAATTCTTTTGTAACAGCAGTGATCTGTAATAAAGAAAAATGAAAATATATAAAATATATTTTTTCAGTAACTCTTATCAATAAATCCTGTTACTTTGAACCATGTTAGTAAAATTTTCTAAATGCTCAAAATTTGCCAAACTCTAGCAACTAGCCCATAACAATGTATCTTAATTCCTTTATTTGAGCATTTGTTACATGTGCCACAAATTTAAGACTGCAGCATTTGCACCAGCAATAGTTTAAAAAATGCTATTAAAAAAATCTTCCAAATATTTACTAGATATGTACTTTTTCCTGTCATAAATATACATTTAAAATTCTTTTTAGTGATCCATTCACGAAAAGAAAATATATTCGAAACCATAATACACAACAGCAACAAATTTTCGTAACATATACAAAACATTATACATGAAAGAAAGATTTTGACTAGAATTTTCATAATGTCATGACTTTCAAGGAACTTAAAATAATAAAGAAATAATAAAAATGAAATTTTCTTAGATATACTTAGGATGTTCTGAAATTTTGTAATTAGATAGCAATATCATTCTTGAAATGAAACTTTCTTACTTTTTTTGAAGTTCAGGTGACAATACATAATGAAGGTGATAGATGTTTTCAATTTGAAATAAACACTAAGCTTTGCAGTAGTATTCTCACCTTTACAGCCAACAGCACATATTTTAGCATAAAATTCAAATATGGAAGAACATTAACTTTGTATTTGTATGCTAAAAATGGACAGATAACTGTATAAATAGCATCTGAATAAGTTTTTGCTATATCTTATAAGAGCCTTCAACATAGGAACTATATTTGACATCAAAAGGATCAGAAGTCACATGAAAAGAATTACATGCAGCTGCAAATGATGTGGCACGCAATGCTAAGATATATTCTTCTTCTACAAATTTCCTGAAAGTTTCAAAAGGACAAATGCCATATTCCGAAGCACGGTCCAATTTCTTGAAAGAATCTTTAAAATACAATTTGCAAAAAGATGTGTATTTTGTAACATCTTTACCATTATACAAAACTTTTAAAGCATACTGAATATTATTATTTACGGCATGACTGTACATTTCAAAAATGATGCGAGAAGCATATGGTATCATGCTACCATCATCAATACCAAGTGCTGTTGATAAAGGTTCTAAAGTAACATCATGACCAGAGTAAAGCATAAAGCGAGCAGCAGATTTTCCATTAATGAAATTTTTCATATTGTTGACTAGATGAATAAAAAATCCTTGCATCTTCAAAAGAGCTGTCTTGGTATGAGTACTGTCTCTCACAAATTGTCGACCTTCCCAGTCAAGATACGCAATCAGGTTACGAACATGCTCAAATGTAACACAATCACTAGTACCTGGAATGCATGGTAAATGAGAACCATGACACACATAGCCCATCAGACTGTCAAACATTGCCAATGGAGCAGTGATATCAGAATGATTTGGATTAGATTTCACAATGGGACTAAGTCGCTGTAACAGATGTACTACAGCCGGATGAGAATGTAATAATCTTCTCATTTTTTTATCCATTAAAGTTTGCAAATGTTCTAGTAGAGGGCATTTACAATAATATTCAGTCATACAAAACCTTGTATCAGGAGATGGAATGATTTTTATGTTTGTTATATTAAAGCTTGGTAAAAATCCAAAAAGAAAAGCTACAGCACTCTGAAATGTTCTAGAATAAATTGTACTATAAAGTTTTATATGATCAGATGTCCAGTTTTTATCTAACAAAGCATGATCATCAATATACGCTCTCTGTAGAGCATGTCCAACCATTAAATGTTGATGAGCTCCTACTAAAGTCATCTGAGAAGAAGTGCAGTGCTTTTCTGCAGGATACAAGGGAAATGTTGTGAATGGGAACAGATGCTTAGCAGATCCCCGCAAATGTTTTAAAGTCTTGAGATATTTCAAAAGAAGAGGACTATTCTGAGTGCCACAGCTGATGATTGATTGGTTTCTGATGGGCCTCAGAGGGGCACGATCTCCATGTCGAATTACAACAGCTACAAACTCTAATGATCCATTAACAGGAGCTTTACCTGAAAATATGAGAAAGTAATAAATAAGCATACAAACAGACTGAAATTATTATATACATTGCTACTACCTTGATATATACAAAAACAGGAGATTCTTGCATGTAAATAAGCCTCATAAAAGACTGAAATTACTACACACATACATGCTACCTTAATATATATATAAACAGGAGAGCTATTTAAATGCAGTCCACATAACAAAAAAAAAAAAAAAAAAAAAAAAAAAAAAAATTATATGTCAAAAGTAGATGATTCTGAAAGAAGTGACTGGAAGTTCTGACCTTACCACCAATGAAAATTTAATAAGCAAAACTGGAAGCTCCTTGAATTTTTACATAATTTCTGATAATGATTCAGAGACAGCTTGCCTTTTTATGCAAAACTGATATAGAAATTCTTTACTTGATGAGCCAAGGTTTCCATTTCTTGACACTCCATCCATTTTGGTTTGATGTCACTGTGAGAATTTTTCAATTCTTTATGGTGATGTTATAAATATGAACTAACTGTTAGGCTGAACAATAATATCTGTGAAATGCCTTATTAACAAATGAAAATATCAAATGCCAATAAAACCAAATGAAATCAATGTTTTTCGTATTGGCCGTGCTATGAAATATAGCAGCAAAAAAAAAAAAAAAAAAAAAAAAAAAAAAAACCTAGGATTCATATATTTTATTTTAAAATAAATCATAACCGGTTAATCTTTTAAGTTACATCTAGAAATTTTGAGATGTGAGATGCATTAAAAAAAAGGGCAACATTTAAACAGACAGTGGAATTTTTATATTTCTTTCTATTTATTTGATTTTTGGTCAATAAGTGATTTTTTATACATACTCTTCCTAAAAATACAATTCCTGAAATAAAAAATTCACAATTTGTAAGAGTTTTTTTTTTTTTTTTTTTAATTTAAATTTATTGAGTTGTGAAGTGGTTAAAAGATAATGCAATAAATATTTAGCAGATTTAAAGGAATAAAATTATTCATTATTAGTTATTTATTTAAGGGTTTCTTCCCTTCATTTTAATTTTCAAAAGACATATGAGTTTAAGGATCATCAGAGAATAATCATACATCATATTAAGCCTTTAGATAAAACTCAAATTTGGGCCTATTCTTATTAGCTGCTTTTAATAATTCTTAAATAATGCTATTTTAAATTTTTTATTAATAACAGAAAACACAAACAATAATACAATAACAATTGTGTAATGCAGTACTTGTCTAGCATAACAAAAAATGTACAGATATAATTAGTCATAAACCAACATTTAAGAATTAAAATTTTTTATTTTCAGATTTCATTTCAGAGAGCTGACCAATATTTTCATCTAGCCATTCAAGAATACCCTTTTTTAATAGCAAGTATTGCTAAATATCTTAACTTTTTCTCTGCTAATAAATTCTTTAAAAATTTTTAGTTAATTTTTAGAACAGAGAAAGATCACTCTCTTGTTGCATTATTTGGGTGCAGTTATGTAAATTCTTAACTATATTTCAATATTTGGAGGAAAAAAATGTAATGTTGTTATATTTTATGAACTGGTATAGAACATTTGCAAATTTTACTTTATTTCCAATAATTTTTTTTTTTTTTAAAAAAAGGTCACCACATTTCCTAGTTTTTCAACATCAATGTTACTGAAGTAAACTTTTCGATTTCACTTGCACAATTCCATACATTTCTTAAATTTTCAGTTTTCCATAAAATATTTGAAATAATTTATTAATTTTTTGATATCTTATGTATACTGCATCAATTTTATGGCAAATTCGTCACAAATAACATAGAATTTACACAGTTACAAAAAAGGGGGTAGAGTTCTATATCCCCCTTTCTACTGGTTCGATTGGCAAAATTCAAATTGCATTTTTCATGTCTCAAAAGCGTGACTTAGGATATATATTAGATTTATGTATAGCATTGCTCTAACATAGGTATTTTGACACAAAATCCGACTTTTTCTGAAATGACATGCCAATTTTTTCCAAATTTCGATTCTACGATTATGCCTAAATATTAAATTTTGTAAACTTGCTAAATTTAAGAAGAAATTCAAAAATTTATCTTGCCACATTTTTTTTTTTTTTTTTTTTTTTTTTTTTTTTTTTTTTTTTAAGTTTGCGCTAAGAATAATTCACTTGGAGAACTTCTTAATTTATAGCAATCTATTTTCCTTTATTTCATTGCAGACGAGCGGAAAAAAGTCATCGTTCATATTTTGTGTTACTATTGCGGTGTTACTATTGCTCATAACAAATGTTCCAAATTTCAAAATGCGCCAATATGCAAATTCATGTATATCTAAGAAAATTTTGAATAAAAACTAATTTTTTGCAGGTGTGCCTAGAAATACATCTACTAAAGATGATGTTAAAAATGTTATAGGTTATTATCCAAAATTTTTTCAAAAAATTTATAAAAGTTATTTAAAAATAAATCATAAAAAAATGGCAAATCTTATTTGGAATGAATCTAAATTTTGAAATGTGATAGGAAGAATCAAAATAAGTTAAATAAAAAAAGATATTAACAAATATATACCAAATTCAATTAACATTGAAGAGTTGAAATTTCGAGAGCTAATTTCTAATTTTTTAAAAACTACTCTTGCGATTTTTACAAAACTTAGCAATTTGGCATAATTTGAGTCATAGACTCGAAATATGGAAAAAAAAAATTGGCATGTCATTTCAGAAAAATGTCCAATTTTCTGTCAAAATACCTATATTAGAAAAATGCTATATATAAATCTAATATATATCTGAAGTCGCACTTTCAAGACAAGAAAAATGCTATTTGAATTTCATCAATCAGCCGAGTAGAATGGGAGATATAGAGTTGTCCCATTTTCTTTTATTTTGCGCCGTGCATTAATTGATTTTAAAACTATTTCACCAGTTTAATTAATACATTTCTCTGCTTGATTTTCATCAAAAAATATTTCTATCAGTCTTTTTTAAGTTTTTTTTATCAGCATAAATTTTGATGTAAGATACTGCTAATGCTTTGTTTCCAATTTTGCTTCAACTTGAATAGAAAGATTTTGTAATTCATCTTGAAAGTAGTGAAGCAAGTTATTCCATATTTTACTATATCCATTCTGGACTGCTTTTATTGCATTTCCTTAATCATCTAACATTGCAATAGTCTCTTAATAATAAAATGTACCTCATTTATGACAAATATGGATTCTAAAGCTTTTCAATGGTTAAGCATTGTAGAAAAAAGATGTATAAATTCTTTTTATTAAATTAAGGAGTTAATTTTTTCATAAGTCCAGTTCTGTAATGACCAATTAATAAGATAAAGTGAGTGGGCTGCCAGATAAAATAAATTTTCATAAAATTCTGGATTGCCTACTTCAGTGACATAGTATTTTTCACCCAGTGAGACTTGTCATGCTTGGCCCAACAGCACCCATAAAGTTCTCAGCCACACTGTCTGTAATTACTTCCATCAAAATCTTGGTTGTTCCATAAATAGATTAAGGGTTATCAAAATGTCATTGAAAAGTTTTGTCACAAAATTAAAATAATCAATCATCAGAAACTGTAAACCAAGATAATTGATATGCACCATGAATTACAATGTCATTTTTCTTTTAATGAATGATTTATACTAAAGCTACAATTATGTCTAATCTCAATATTATTTCACTAAAATCAAAACATTCTCTTTGTACGTTCGGGACATGTATAACCTTGAGTTGTTAACTACAAATTTAATAAAATCAAAGACAAATTAAAATTATTATGTGTATGAGTGGTCTAAATTATTGTGCAGGAAATACAGATATGACATAAATAGGGTTTTCAGCTACAGAATTTAAGAGTTAAAATCTACTATATTTCATATAACATCCTTATCATGACACCAAATGATAAGAAAATAAAAAAAAAAAAAAAATCAAATAATTTATTTACCTTCTTGACCTAAAGCTATATCGGCAGGTGGATTACAGTATCTAAGAGCTTTCACCATTTTGAAGCTAGATGCTGGAGGTAAACGATTATGTTGCAAAGGATGTATTAATGGATGAGACATTCTTTGTAATTTCATCTTAGTATGAGTGCTCCGGCTAATAAGCATAACTAAAAGGAAATAAACATTATAATTAAAGCATTTTTCTTCAACAAAGATGCAAATGCTGCTCAAAGCAAGAAATTTTTAATACTCAAAAACAACACGAATAATCATCTAGAAGCAAAAGCAATTTTTAAATATTAATATTTTTGCTACATTTATTACTAGGCAAAAATAAAAAAGGAAGCAAAAATTTTTAATGAATTTATTTTCGGAGACAATACACAAATAGCATTTCAAAACTAATGAAAAAACTCAAAAGAAAGAAGACAGCAAATAAAACACATTTCATCCCAGAATGCATGTTCAGTGGTTAGGCACTGGATGCCTTTGACTAACCCATATATGCCTTATTTCACAGAATAAAAACACGTAACATTATCTTCCTTCTGCTGTTTATACATACATGACACAGCCTGAACTATTAACCCTGATTATTTATCTGTAACCATTCTGTAAAATAGCGTTTCTTAAACTGTGGGTAGATAAAAATTTTAGCAGTTTTGATATTTCTTTAACTTATAATAATTTTACAATTGCCAAATATTTTTACACAATGTATCTGAAAACAGGTAAAGATAAGACATACAGACAAAGAAAAAAGGGAAACGTTTCAACACATCCTTTTTATAATAGAAACGTTCATATTACTTGCTTTGCACGTGAAGCTGTCATTTCATCTGTTACTTATTTAAAATTTTCACATTATTCTATGTCTTAAAATTAGAAATTAAAGTTAATGACCTAAAACTGCAATAGTATATTACAAAAATTGGGTGAGGTGCAGAATCATCCACTTATTTGTTTGGCGCTTTTTACAAGAGTAAGAAGAATTCGATTTTTGTCACATTATTCTATGTCACTTTTTTCCTATTAAATAAAAATAGGTTTATGTGTACATGGATAAAGTCAAGCGAGTGCGCAATGCCATTTTTGTGCAATTCTGGGATTTTTTTTAAGTGAAAATAGGTCGATGTGTACATGGATACCGAGTTTATGCAATTCTTTAAAACACACCAAGCAGTGGGCGATTCTGCATTTTCCCCAAAAAATTAACAGTTTCACACATGTGTGTGTCAGATTTGTGCAATGCTTATGGGGTCTCACAAAATTTTTGTAAACATTACGGGGTCCTGGGGGTTGCGAAAAAAATCTCAGTGATAAAAGGGGTCGCGAGTGAAAAAAGTTTAAGAAACCCTATTGTAAAACATAACGTACTTGCTTGAGAGAAAACAGTCATTGAAAAAATAAAATGAAATTAAGACTGGAACTGAGAATTCTTCTCAGGCAATGACAAAAGAGTGAGATAAAGAAGTGAGATGACTGCTGCTTGGATGTTTATTGGGTGAAGAACTCCAGAGCCATAAAGAATTAAAAATACCAAATGTAAAATTCATCTTCAAAGAAGCAATGCCCAATTACAATTTGAGACAACATATAATAAAATACAAAAATAAAAAAGCATTTACATATTTTGCAGTAGGTCATTTCAACAAATAAAAATTTTCACCAAACGACATAACGTAATGCTAATAATGTATTAAGTCACAATCTTCTCATGATAATGTAATAATAATGTAATGTCATATCCTTCATTTTGGTTTTTGCAATCCAAGTCATTATCAATAAGTTTGTGCGGAAGTATTAGTTTTTGATATACAACTGTTTTGGAGTCTTGAAAGGCCTACAAAATTAATGTCTACATATTACAAGCTGCAGGATTCGAACATTTTAAAGATAATCACCAATATAATTCTTGTAAAACCTGATACTGGTACACACACTCAAAATATTTAAACTCTAGAGTTTTGCAAAATAACACAATAGAAGACACAGAATCATGGAATATCACTTAAAATTGTATATATGTGAATTTATGTGGTACTGAGTTCACAAGGAAGAATATTTTTTGCTATTTTAAATTACATTAATGTTTTTTAGCTCCCTGAGTGACTGACACAAGTTTTAATGAATTTGTTTGTCAGATAGTTTCAAAGCTTCACCTCATAGTTATTTAAGTTTTTAACTGTTATATTTGTATTTGCACCTGTTGATTATAACTAATCGAAGTGTGATCTGTGATTATCCAACCAAATAAAAAAATCTCTTCCTTCAAAATTATGATTTGTATTACACAGGTAGAATGATTAACGTAAGTTTGGTAGATTATCTACCAGCTTTTATGGTTGACAAGAGCCAATTTACATAGACAAAAGGAATAATAATGGTGCAGCATATGAAAAACTTATACACGGGTCTGAAAATGCCCTATACAGTACAAAGTCCATAATATGGACATCCACTATCCGGAATGATCTATAATCCGGACTTCAAAGCCAAAAACTTTTTTTGTGTGTGTGCTTTATGCATGCGCGTTTAAGCATGTGCGTTGGGAGGATGTCTCCAGATACGTTAAAAATGCTTGGCATAATTTATAGCCAGCTACCACATTTCATGGTGAGGACGATGAAGATGATAGCCGCAAATTTCAAGGTTTTCGGACATCGCAAACTGAAGGTGAGATTTTCCAGTTATTGAATTTTGTAAAGAAATGTGAGAAGCGGTAATAAATGAAGATGATATAACAGAAATTTTTCATTGCGACGACAATGCTCCAATCATCAGTCAATTAACGGACGGCGAAATCTGTAGTATGGTTCTAGATTCAGAAAATACCGCTTCCGATAGGTGAAACTTTGTAACTGAACAAGAAATTATGTCTGTGTCTAGAATTAAAGAGAATGTATTAGCACAAAAAAGGAAGCAACTTAAACAACTTACATTGAAAGAAATGTTTAATAAAGTAAACAAATAAATATTAAGCTTTTTTTTTTTGTAAATTTTGATACCCTTTAGATCATAATTGATCTTTATTTCATAAATTATTGTTCCATGTTTTTAATTGTATAATTTCTGCATGCCATTTTACCAGATTTAAATTGATGATCCATAATCCGGAAAACCACCTAATTCCGAATAGCCGAAGTCCCAAAGAATTTGGATTACGGACTTTGTACTGTATATGTGTATAAAGCATGTGAAAGGAAATAAAAAGTGCCCTCCTGTGTCTAACAGCTTAGCATCCAGTCATGCTTTCTACAATGAAAAGTGCTTGTTTTGGTGTATTTTATCATTCATTAAAGTTTATTACATTACCATTGAAATATCTTACATATACATATAAAATAAATTATAATTTTAACCCTCTGAGCGTCATGACCGGCTTTATGTGCCCCGAGATTATTTTGTTACTTGGCATATATCAGCTAATAATTTAAGATATTTTGCCTTCTTTAATAATGTAAACGTTATCTTGATGAAAATAGAGACTAAAATAGGTAATTATAAAAATTCAGCTAAATGCTGAATTCATGCTGTTTAAATGCAGGTTTTTATGACAGATGTAAAATTTTGTGCCACTCAGAGGGTTAAAAGAAGAAAAATGTAACAAATTTATTTCCAATACTGATATTATTATTTATTTATTTAGAATACTTAAGACAAACTGCAATACTGTTGTTAACAGAGGATTCTTACCTTTCGTTTCTGTTCCCCCCTCTTTCAGTTTTTCTCATAACAATAGCTATTATTTCAAGAAAATCATCCATGAAATATTAATTATAAAAATTCGATACAATTTCCACAAAGATTCAATGTTTCAGTTTCCTTATGTTAAATAAATTTAATATCAGAGCTGAACAGCTTGAAATTTAAATACTTTTCTTAAAATTTGATGTATTTATTTTGGTTTAATTTTTGCCTCCCAATATGAGTGTTACATCAACAAAAATCCTAGAAGTAAATTTGGTATTTTCTGATTATCTGAAACCTCACTGAATAGTTATGAAGAAGTATTTGTGAAGCAAGCAGTAAGTCACCTAAACAGTTTTACCCTGATGTCACCCAAAAGTATTTATGTGAAAACCTGAGTATGCATGCAGCAGTCTGCTTTGGCCAGTGTGCAATGCCAGAACTCTTGGATACCAAATGAGTTTGTGCAATTTTCTGACTTTTTTAACAGCGAAAACAAATTGCTTCGTACATAGGAAGAACAACAGTGCAAAAAAGAATTTCTCGAAAAAGGTAACTGTTTTATTATCAATATTTCTTCTTAAAAAAAAGTGTTGATTTATTACCCTTAACATGCAATTCTTAATACCCACCATTTTGAAACTAGCCTTTTGCACATTAGCTTGGTGAAGATTTAGTTGCCAATGAGTTCGGACTTTTGGATTGGAAGCATGGATATTCAGAAATTACCATACAATTTTTCACAACAAATGTACACATCAGAATGCCAATCATGCTCAGAAAAATTAATTAGTATCTCTACAGGGACTTTTACAACAAGCACACTATTTTAACCGAGGCGAACACTTGCATTTAAAATGATAATGAAACTGCTAGAAAAAGATACTACCCAAAAAGCAAATAACTATTTTCTCTTGTAATATAAAAATGTACACTATTTTATCCAAAGAATTTTTCAAAAAGCAACATTGTTGATCTTTTGTTAAAAATTCCTTGAAAAAATTTGCATAAAATGCTTTTTTAAATAATAATCAAGTAAACTTCTAAGTTCACTAAAATTTATTTTCATTCATAATTTTAATTGCAGTTTTTATTGATCTGTTACATATATTAAGACTTTTTACATTTTCCAAAGAGAATGACATCAAATTGCAGATGAATTCTTAAAACAAAATTATTTAATCTCTTATTCCCATTAAACTATAAAATACATTATTTCTTTCCTTTGAGTGCATTATTTATCATATCCCATTTAAGATAAAAGCTTACTGTATAAAAAGTTTTTAATTGTATTTTATGTTTTGCTTTTTAGTCTAAGATGAAATTTTTAGTTATTATTAAAACATAAGTAAAAGATAATTAGAAAATTATGAAATAAAGAAAAATTAACTGAACATCATTCAGAGAAAAGAAATCACTTTGCATATTCAGCCTTGGAAACTTTATATAATAAAAATGTTACAATGAGCAAGAGCTA